ATGTACTATGTGTTATATAAATTCTGTATGTGTCTAGACTTTTTGCAAAAGCCTTTTGGGAATTTTTTTTTTACTTTTGTTACCCAACTGTGTACTCCATAGGTAACTATAGTGCTTACAAAAATATTGTTACTCTCTTGTTCCCCATGGTCTTATTTTATTTCACTGTGACCACATTTCAGTACCAGTAGTAACTGTTAAGCATTTTATTGGTGCATGGTTTATACAATAAAATTACACTGTAAATTGTGGGCTGTCTTATAAAGTGTTATCCAAAAGCTCTCACAGATGCCACAGTGGCCACAACGAGACAGTTCTGATTCTACAGGGGACAGCTGTTGAAACTAGTGGACAGAGTCATGCTTTTAATGAAATCCACACAAATAGCCTGAAACCCACACAAAGCTGCAATGTTTAATGTTTTACTACTGTACAGCAAATCTTCTGAGTGTCAGGAGTTTGATGGCACTGTGGGATTGTTGTGACTGACACAGTATGTCACTGTCACTTGAAATTTTCAAAATAAAAACCTCGTAAATATTTGTAGATGTTTTGCAACTCCTAATTGCACATCAATTACTTTCATTGAACATCTACTAATGTGCTGAAACATGAGAAAATAAGTAACACAAGAAAGTAAATAAAGATTGAATATCCACTAAGACTCATTATTGATGAGGTTATTACTATAAAATTAAAGGGAATAGTAAGTTGTAGTTAAGTGTAGACACAGAAATGTGTATGATTTTAGAATTAACTTCACATGAATGAAGACTAATCTTTGTGTGCAGACATTTAAGTCAGTATTAATTACTGTTATTATCATGCACGGTCCACAGCCTTGAGCAGCTCAATCAATTGACACTTGCCATTTAATAACAACACACAATCCTGTGTATTGTTTTTTTAATTCAAATGAAAGTCAGAAAACATGGATTCTTTTCCTTGCAATTCACAGAGTGTTTTAGCTGCAGATGACTGAGCAAAGAGGAGCGAAGAGCAGTGAGAGGATAAGAAGGAAGAGAAGGAGGAGTGGGTTGCCCTGTGTGGTTAATTAAAGCTGAGAGCTGTGCCCTTCTCCACCATACAGTGTGTTTTCTCCCTCTGCAAGGGGGTGAGGCAGGATGCCTCTGTCCATTTCAATAATGTATACGAGACAGTTGCTCCGGTAGAAAAAACCTGAGATATACGCATGCTGCCACTTAGTGTGTCACAACATACTGAAAGTAAGATGTATTTGCAATCCAAAGAACATGTACAGCTATCTTCTGTCTCTTTGCTCATGCCTTAATGTCATTCAGTATCACTAGACCACCCTCACAGTGTCAATATCTGTTTTTGGAGGAAGAAATTTGGAAAGGTGCAGTGAAAAGTGCGTGCAGCACTACAAACCTCATATAATAGCAGGTTACAGTGGTTACAGTTACAGATTTTAGAGTGGTCCAGTGATGATGGCTTTAAGACTATAAACTGTCATTATCTATTATTCATTTGTTCACAGAGTATCAGTGAACATCATAGCATGATGCACGCTGGAGCTTTCAGTGGCATTTTCCTCACACAGTTTTCTTTCTCACCTACGCCCATTTGATATTTGGTGAAAATGGAAGGAGAGGTGCAGCAGGGAGTGCATCAGTGTGTCAGTAGCAATTAAACCAGGTCCAAAGTGTGTGGTTGAGAGCCTGTTCATGCTTTTTTTTAATATAAGACATGAAAAAAATCTCAATATAAATAAACATCATTGGTTTTAGAGCTGTCAGTATTAGTAGTAGTGATCACATCCTCTACAGATGTCAGAGATTGTTGGTTGCAAGTTTAATATTGGTCGTAGGTAATGCTCTATATGTTGTTTACATCAACAATCAGCTAAATTGAGCAGTTAGAGACTGCAGAGCTTTGACTCCAATTTGTTTGGTTATAAACCTGAAAAACCTGGAGTTTGTACATAATGTTGTCTGCTGTGGACGCTGTGTGTGTCCTGTGTGTTTGCTGACTTATGGAGCCGTTTAGGTGAAGCTGTGACAGCTGCAACAAAGACTAAACTTGGATTCTCCCCCGGGGATTCTCCCCACTGCCTTCTTTAATATAAACAGAGGATAATTGAGCCAAATACCTAGCCTAATGTGTGTGTGAGAGAGAGTGACAATCGAGTGACAAACGCATCTCTTTCCTATTGCTAAAAGGTCAGAGTATCACCCCAGTTCAACTGTTTTTCTAAACATTTGCAGGCATTTTTAACCTTGCAAGGGTAAAGAGGTCAGGTCTGAGTCCGCATTGCTCTTCCTGGATCTGGGTTTCGACAGTCAGTCAGAGTCTCCTTTCCAGCTCCCTGGAACAAGCTTTCTCAGGGAGGCTGAGCAGCGCAATACCCCAATAACTGGAGAACACCCTCCGGCCCCCCTTTTGAAATATGGAAACCATCACCCCAGTCTGCCAGTTCACTGGTGTTGTTTGTCACATTTTCATCAACAAACACCAAGAGAGATTTGTTTGTTCCTCAGGACATGTTAACATCAATGTAAAAATAAAGTAAACCTCCAAGAAGAAACATAACAACATAAAACACTGTTTATGGCACTGTGTTGTCTCTGCTGTAAGTGAATTCACCAAAGTGCCCCCATGAAAAGGATGATCCGTCCTGGTTTGACTGACTGGAAACTGATGTATTAAATGGAAGGTTCATCAAGATTAGAGCATTAATCATGCTGGTGAGGAAATAGCGAGCGAGTCAGGACACCAGAGCTGACAAGCACCATGCTTTTCCCAGAGCAGCTCCTAGAGGAAATGATGCTTGAGCAAATGGAGTCATCGCTGTGGACAGGAAGATATGGAGAATGACAGAATGATAATAAATTAAGATATAACAAGCTGTTTGTTTTTTTGCTGCAGGAAGGCTGTGAGCTATAACTGGATCTGATTGGATGGCCATAGACATTTGTGGTCTATTACAGATGAAGAACAGAGGTCTGCGTATTACTAAACTGTATATGTAGCCTACTCCTCAATGTATGATCCTCAACATCAAACTGTATTAACACAAAAATAACTGAAGTAATTCTAGTGTTTGTTTTCTGCTCTGGAGATTACAGACAAACAGTTCCTGTATGTTCCTTATCATTGGGAATAATACATGGTGTTAGTTATAATTATTAATTATATAATTATTATTCTAAACGACATCAATAAATGTATTCATAGTTATTATAGATGTTAATTATATCTGCATCTATTATATAGTCTGCACTTTATTATCAAACAACACCACCATGTATTACAATCTGACATATTCATTTTGTGAAAGTTTTGTCCACCTACATTTACTTGTGGTGGACGGATTTTTTTTTTTTAAATGTCTTATTTTGACAAATTTGACCGGAAGTGAGAGTCTAGTAGTGTTGTGTCTGGTTTAACGTCAGAAGAATGAAGGTTTGTATTGAAAATCCTAAATATTCACTGCCCTCCAGTGGTCACAGTGAGAAACTACAGCACTACATTAAATTGATGGCTAACAGTGTAAATAACTCAATATTAGTGTGATTATTACAAACAACAACAGGAATAGAAGTGCTGACAATAATTGCTAGTTAGGAGTTGGTTTAATTACTGTTTTCTAGTCTGGAGTCTAACCTGTTGCACACCAGCTTCATGTCAGCTTACAGCTTACTTACTAACACCTGTGAGGAATGAATGTAAGTGAAAGGATTCACAAATACATCCACAGTGATTTTCTCTTTCTCCGTAGAGGTGGTTGGAGTTTCATAATTATCTTGAAGAAAAACAATGTATACATTTTATTTCAATACTCGCCAAAGATAGTCATAAATCTCAAGTCACATAGCCTATGAATGAGTTATAGAATCGTGTATTTGGCACCATGAGTATACACTGCCCTCTAGTGGTCACAGTATCATTAAAGGGCTGTTAATAACAGTTTTATACCAGTCTAACCTCTCAAAGATGTGCATACCATCTTCAAGGCACACATGGTGGCATGTTTACACCTCTGTGGATATGTTTAAAATGAAGTAACCAAACTGAAGTGGGAGTTATAATCCTACTGAAAATCATAACTATTATTTAGATATATCAGCAATTACATTCAGTATACTAATGTTACTAGTGTCTCTATTATGTATGTTATCAAACAGCAGCTCCTTGTAATGCATTATATTAACTTGCCCTGCAATAATACTGCCTCTGTGAGTGTGCGGCGGAAAGAATATTAGGCAAGGTAAGGCAAATTTATTTGTATTGCCCAGACCATTTAGTGACTTATAGACGATAAGTAAGACTTTGATTTCTCCTTAGCAGCAGCATCTGAATAAGCTGTTTCTGTCTCATGGTCTTATTTGGTAAACCAGTGAGGAGAGCATTGCAATAATCAACTCTAGGGGATGTAGAGGCGTGAATGAGTTTCTCTAAGTTTTGGTTTGACACTAAGTCTCTGACCCTAGCTATGTCTTTTGAGATTTAGTTATAGCTTGGGAACACAGCTGCTCTGCTGAATGTTTTTTTACTGGAAGTTTTGTATGTATGTTGTTGTTTCCACCTTCACACCATGGTGAGTGGACGGTAGGCCTAAGTGTATGACTGTTCACTGCCCTCCATTGGGCAACGTGAGGAATTGCAAAGTCTCAGTCATTAATGGTAATAAGAGAAGTGCAGCCAAAATGAAAAGGGCTATTAAGCCGTGGTCATAATTCAGGTAATGTTTCTATTGAACATTTTTAAGGATCTTATTTCATAGGCCATCTTGGCATAAACTCAATACAATATACAGGACTGTATCCTGTATTAAGAACTTCAGTGCTGTTATATGGCTCACAGTTTCCTACCACCCAGGGGCGGTATTGTATCGTTCTGAATCTTCATTCTCTGCCCTGAATTTTTCAGTTCCCTCTGAGAAACAAACAGGTAGCCAGGCTGGAGGTAGGTGGTGCTAATGGCGCAAGGGGCGCAAACTACAGTATAAGTGAATGCATATTCTCCGACCAGCTGTTATGGATAAACGTCGAGGGAGAGGTGATGTCTTCGACTTGAACACGTCTGCAGTAACATTAATGATGCTCTGCTGGAGGCTCTGAAGTCCGTGCACGCTGCGACGGATCAGTTTTGGAGTCGCCAGCAGTGCGCCTCAGCTTGGACACAAGACACACGATCTGGTGGACTGGTTGCATCGTTTTCTTAAAGTTTATATTTGCTGCCTTTTTGAATGCGTTTAGTAAAGTGTGATTTATTCTTTTGCGTGCATTTTGGAGCTGCTAACTTTGTGTTTTTGAGTTGTTTTAGTATGGGGGAGAGCGTGCGTATCGGGCAGATATGTTTACGCTCTGTGGAAGTTTAGCCCTGCGCCCGCTCTCCTAAACTCCCCCATCTGTGCATTTTGATTATCGTACTTCAACTGAACTCTGCAGGAGGTTTAAAACGACAGGGGGAAATGGCCAGCGAGCGGAAACCGCGGCTTTGTCTCATGACAAAAGGGGAGAACGGGTATGGATTTCACTTGCATGGTGAGAAAGGGAAGAGCGGACAGTTCATCCGCAAAGTGGAGTCTGGCTCCCCTGCAGAAGAGTCGGGGCTGCGCCCTGGGGACCGGGTGGTTGCAGTGAATGGGGTTAACGTGGAGAAGGAGACACACCATCAGGTAAGTAGATGAGAATTCAGATTTGTGGCAATAACTGATGTCACAGGACGCCTGTGTAGGGGAACATCAATAGGTGACACTGACTGATGTGTGCATCCCGACACAGTGCGCTATATGACGGTAACAATCATGCCAGCCAGACGCCCACACTACCCTCCTCCTGGCACGATAAACCAACCGTCTGCAAGTTATTAACTGTGAAACTCTTTGCCCACACATAAACACGTGTTGCTTTTATTAAAAATCAGTTCTTGCACTTTCTAATCACAAGCTCCATTTCATGTGACTGTAACTCACCTGCACAGTCCTTTTGTTTGGGAAGAAGGTATGTACTGACAATGGGCTTCAGGCGGACTCACAAGACTGTCTACTTTTGGATCCCATAAGCTATATACAGTATTCACTTCTCCCATTGGTGTTTCTGCTGAAAATCACCAGCTCACTGGTGAATGTGTACACAGCTCAGCTATGCTCAAGTTTTAGGATTCCTTCATTGCTTTTTCAAAGGAAACAATTTTCAGTGTCTTAAAATACCATCCCATCCCTCAGGTGGTACAGCGGATCAAAGCCGTAGACCATGAGACCAGGTTGCTGGTGGTGGACCATGAGACCCATGAAAGTCTGCGCAGCCTGCGCCTCACAGCCACAGAGGAGATGGCCATTCTCGGGACAGGGCATCCCTCCTCATCTTCTCCCCCGGCATCCCCCTCTCCTTCCCCATCCTTGGTCCCATCCTCCCCCAGCAAGAAGCGTGAGAACGGCTCAGTGTCCAAGCAACCGGCCACGCTGAGCAGCCAGGTGCAGAAGCCCACCAGGAGGTCACCGTCGAAGGCTGCAAAGAAGGTAAGCTGGTCCTCCATCAATGCAGGACATGTGGGATTGAGAGTAAAAAGAGTGTTGTTAAACTTTTATCTCATTGTTCTCTCAACTGGGAATAGCTAACAGACCATATGTGAAACTGAGGTTAATTTGAAGTCAGTGAGTCTCTTTTTTATCAGTGTAAACAAGATGGGAAACCAACAAATAACTAGCTTTAGCCTAAAAATACAAGCTTTCCCAGACACTCAAACAAAACATTCCTAGAGATTTGTGTACTCCCAAACACAAGAGTTAAAAATACTAAACACATTAGCGAACAGATTGCAGGTAGTGAGTCAACTCTTTGAACAGACTGTCCTCAGCTCACACAAGCTTTCACCCCAGACTTGTTTTCTCGCTGCTTTGCCAGTTTGATATTAGATTTAAATGGATGGCATGCGAGCTTCCATCCTGTTCTGTAGCCTTCCATGCATGTGTGGTGTGTGTCTGTCTATGTATGTTGTGTCCTGAGGGAAGATCTAAAAGCAGTCCAGATGTTGTGTTGGAGGTCAAAGAAGGCAAGAAAGGGTCAGAGGGTAGGACCTGTCAGAAGTTAGGAATCTGGAAATGGACAACGCAGTGACTCTACAGACCAGGAAATCGTAAAAAACAAAAAAACAAAAAAAACAAAACTATGAATAAGAAGATTTTCTGAATGCCTTTGTTTTATAGCGTAGATATCACATCTATTGTGAAATGATATTCCAGAGGGATAGTTTTTTACAAGCCATTCACAGCTCATCTTCATGTGTTTATATATACATACTTATTGACACTGCTGTATAATGGTCTATAGGCGCTCCCTACATTTATATTTTCTTTCTTCTTTTTTTTTTTTATAATTCACTGTTTGATTATTCCATGTTGACATGAAAACAGGATGTGTTTCCGTCCGCTGTGTCTCTCCTGGAACGCAAAGATCTGATCGTCTTCGGTTTCACGTGCTCCCTATCAGCGAGACGAGGCCGCTCAACTCAACTTCTGCTTTCTGCATCCACACAACATGTGTTTTCACTTAGGTTGGCCCTGCCAATATGTGAGCGGCACTGTTTCTACAAGAGCAGTGACAGGGCCAATCAGTTAAACCTTAAATGTGTGTGTTTGTCTTTGTTCAGCTCTGGCTTTGTGACCTGTGGGGAGAAATCCCAGCACTTGGTGGGGTCGGATTGGCCCCAGCTAAGGCTCAGGAAATGCTTTGAGGTCTCTCGTTTCTCTCAGACTTTAATGACTCTAATGAAAGAATGGAAAGAAAGTTTAGCAGGATGGGCCAAAAGGTATTAGCTGTGCAAAACGAAAAGCAGGAAAATTGGAGGACAAAGATGCTTGAGCTTCTGTTAAACACTAATTGACTAAAAATACTTCATATACGCAGGGAACATTGACAGAACATTGGAGCACTGAAACCTTCCTCTGTCACTTGATTGGTACCTTCTGAGTTTGTAAAGATTTGGATGTCTCTGTGTCCTTTCCCATGACACTCCACGCTGATACAGCATATTATATCTTATACACAGTAGTCTGCAGAGTAATTACCACAACAAAAGCAGAGGGGAAAACAGACTGATCAGCGATGAAGCCTTTAATCACCAACTGAACATATGAGCTAAAAACAACATAAATAGCCTTTCACAGCTGTAATGGTCTGCTCAGTTTGCTATGAGATGTTTCATTCTTCTTACTCTGATCTGTAGGAAAGTGCTGAGAGCAGCACATTTTCTCTCATATTATATTTTTTTAAGTAAAGGTAGAAGGAAAAGAAGGAGGGAGAGCAGACAGCACTTGGACCGAGCTAACCCGGGACTAAGAGCAGCCAATAACAACCTTGAAGATATTTGGGAAGGTTTGCAGGGGAATGGAGTCACACAGTGGGGGGGGGGGGGGGGGGGGGGGGGTATGTGCATGTGCCAGTATGTCAGTGATTGTGGATATGTATGTGCACACAGGGATATGCCTGTTTGAACTGTCTGTTTTCAGCACCTTTACTTCTGCTGAGAAAACAGTCTGTGAACATTCGACTACCAGGTTTAGAGACAACTGGATTAACTGAGCTGCACAGCACGGGTAATACTGTTTTATCTTGTTGTGCTTTCGGTACCATTTACTTTACTTTGAGCAGATTGTGTTTTTAATATTGAATGTTACTATGAAAGAGAGGTGCAGAGGGAGAGATGTGAGGTAAAGATACTGAGGGGAAACCGGCAGGTGCATGAAACAGAGGAAGTTAGCTGTTGGAGTTTGGCTTCTGATTTGGCCCACTTACCAACAGACAGCAGTTGCAGCTGCAGCAGTGGCTAATAAACAGCACTCAGAGGCAGTTAAGGTACTTTAAAAGTCTTACCACCCAATTGCAGCATTAGAGTATAATGCTGCACTTATAACTCAGTCAAATCTGAATTTACAGACATGATACACATATTTTTAGATTCAGTGGGACTTCCTGAAGACATTGTCTCTGATGTCCATCATGAGTAAACGTCCATACATCCACTTCGAAATCACAGAAAAAAGATGTTCCCTACAACTTGCTTGAGAATCATCATGCTTTTAAGTTGTCTTCAGTATCAAAGTCATCCAGCAACAGTTGTGTGTGCATCCATGGTTTGCAATTGCAAACAGGAACTGCTAATAGCTAATTCAGCATACTTTTAGTTGTGTCAGCTTGCCAAAATGTAAACAATTAAAGGCTAAAAGAAACTGGGACTCAAGTTGTAGCCTACAGCTAATGATCTGATTCCATGCCAACATCATACTTCCTGTTTACATTCCTTAAACCCCCCCAGATTATTAAAACTGTAGTTCCAGAATTTAGACCTTAACTACCCCCCCCCCCCCCCAAAACAGAAGGAGATGGGGGGTCTGTGTTTTCCCCACTTTTGTCAGAGGAGGGGCCCACAGTGTCAGGCATTGAAAACCCCTGCTAAGGAAAATAAGGTCTTTTAGCAGCTACAGATTACAGCCTAAGGTCCTACAGGACACATATTATAGACTCCACACACACATACTATCGAGGCATGTACATGGACACAGTAGAAACCTTTTCTGCAACTGTAATCACTTGCACATTTGCCCAATAAATATCCCCAATAGAGGTTTTCTTGTGTGTTTGTGTGTGTGTTCCCCAGGTTACAAGACCCTGTCTGTATTTTTCCTCTGTTTTATGACCACTCATCCCCCAGGTTTCTTTTCTGTTGCATTCCTCTCGTGTTTATCTTCCTCTTGATTTGTGACACAGCAGAGAGAGTCAAAGGGAGACTGTTGACCCGCAGACTCAGTGCTTCTGTATCTGTGTGTCTACATGCAGTTTGTGGAGGTTGTTTTTTTTTAACCCCTTCATTCTCCATTCCCTTACTCCTCCATTTCAAATCCATGGCTCAGTCCAGACCTCTTTTTTTCTTTTTCTTTTTTCGGAGGGGGTGGTGGAAGGGGTGGTGGTGGGGATGGGGATATCAAAATGTTCTCACACTGCTGATTTGAGCTGATTCAACTATCTTAAGTTTTACTGCCAATCGTGATCACTCAATCATCAATCGATCATGATGGGGCCAAAATAGTCACGTGACACACCGCTGGAAGACAATCAAATAGGTATAATGTGAAATATTTGTGTGTAATAATTGGCCCTAACTTTAAATAGAATAATAATTTTATGATTTACGTGTGTTATACTGTTGATAGTGAAATGAAAAATGAGTTTTGTGACATTAGTAACATAATGAGTGCTCAGCAATACCGCGCTTCTGTCCTCTCCTATGCATTTCTAACCCAGTATCACAAACTATAAACCATGACTTAAAAACCATTTTCTCCTTCTTCCTCACATCCTAACAAAATCTCCTCAGCGCTACAGGATTACAACTGAGTCAAGGCTGTTAGAAATCCAATGTTCAGGCCTTAATAGGCCATAACTGTTGACCATGAGCACCAGTGAAGCACACAACCTTAAGCGTAGGGGCTTGTGTGTAGTCGAAATCTGTTTTGTTGTTATATTTAGGCCTGATGACTCGAGGGCCAATGTTGGAGATAAATGCTGCTGTCACTAATTTTTCATACTTTAGACCCACGCTCAACAATTTTTGAGCCTTTTTGTCTGATCAAGTCTGGCTCACAAAACCCATGAGCTGAAGTTACATCAAATATTGCCCTTGATGTTGTCCTCATCAAACCATAGTTATCATCCATGAAACAACTTTTTTATTTTGAAGTAGAGACATCCTTCTTTTTCATGCAGTAAATGTGAGGCTAATGTCAGTGAATTAGAAAAAACAGCATGTGAATTTCCACCTTGAAAATAATCTTGTATATAAATATTATACATTGTGTGTCTTTTACATGCCTTTTAGAATATATCGTAGTTAATAATCGGAAAGCAAAGTAAATTGAAGTGAAATGTATGAAACAGACCTGAACTAAACCACAGTGTGTACAACACTTTAAAGAAATCTTGTCTTGCTCTCAGTCCATCTCTCTGTGACAAGAACAGAGGAAATTGTATCAAATTGAGGCATGAGATCAGTTCTGTCACCTTTTCGCTGTCCTCCCACAAACAATTTTCTCTTCACTTTCCTGTTGAGTCGTTTGCTTGAAGGCACGATGGTAGCTAGCCAACTGCATCAAACATGTTGAGCAGGAACAATGATTGATGCTCAGGTCCTATAGGGAGAAAGGAAGAGGCATTTGAAGGACAAGAACACTATGACTAAGGTATGAGATGGATCATCTTACCTTAACACGCACCTGAGGTGTCAGTGCTCTGTCTCTGTGGTTATCTCTCTCCCCTTTGCACACGCACACATGTACCGAGGCGTGCCATGTGGGTGTGTCATTAACACTAAAGCCCAAGATAAAGTGTCAGGTGTCACTTTCTCACCAGAACCTTTTTTTAACTTGCAAACACATACACATGGCTTGATGAGAAGATAAAGGATGACTTAACTGTTGAGCATGAATCAAAAGTAGCTAAAAAATGAGTGAAATGCATAAATATA